GGGCGGGACTAGCAGTTGGCACAACGGCTATGTCGCTGGACTCCCACGGAGTCGACCGCGGTTCGCGTCCCTGTCCCAGTGGCTTAAACTCACGCCGGGCGCGTGTGCATGCCCAAGATCCCGGGAAGAGGATGGAGAAGAGATTGCAGTGTGGCCATCCCTGGGGGTGATTTCTCATTTTCTTCCTCACTGTCTCTGTCTCTCTCTCTGGCAAGAACACACCCCCCCAAGGCAAAAGGCTCTTTTTAAAAAGGAAAGGCAGAGCTTGGGCGGGCACGTGGTGTGCGGGTTGGGGCGCTGGACTCCCACGTGGCCGACCGCGGTTCAAGTCTCGAACTTGGTCGCCTGTTCTGCTTGCCCCTTCTTTATCTAGTCAAAGTTTTACAAAGTATTGCTGGAAAAAATAAAATTATTTTTTTTAAATCGAAAGAGGGCTATGTGGGGTGGAGGTGGCGTCCCCATCAGACCACGGCTCCCAGACAGAGCAGGGTCGCCGGCCTCAGGTTAGGCAGTTTGAGGTCCCCACACCCGCCTGGTCTCTCTGCTGGTGCCCGAGGGCCATGGGCTGCCCGGTTCCCTCCCAGGTCCCTGCGCTGTGTGCCACACGGGGACACGCGTCAGCGTGAGCGGGAAGACCTCGGCCAGCCACGGCACGGCTGCGGCCAGAGCACCTCATGTGCAGTGTGACATGGGACACGGGCCTTGCTGGGGACCCTGGTCCACAGCGGCAGGGTGGAGGTTCATGGGCGCAGGGGCTGCTGGGGGGTTCTTCGGGGGGTGATAGACTGGGGCTGGCCGGTGGTGTGGTTGGTGGCCTGGACTCCCACATGGCTGACCCTGGTTAGAGTCCTGGACTTGGCAGCTCCCTATCACAGTCCCTCTGTGTGTGTGTGTCTCTGTCTCTCTGAGGAGCACACGTGCAAAAAAAAAATCATTCTGGACTTAGAGGGTGGGGATGGCTGCCCAGCCTGATGAGCATGGGGGAGGGAGGAGGTGCACCCCAGTTAGACCCGGACAGCCCCAAAGTGCTTCTAGGGGCAACCGCTCAGCTGGAGTGAGTGTCGCTCCCCCACTTCCCAGGTTGGGGGGCCGTCCATCACTACCCGTCCCTGCAGTGGCTGGGGTCAGGTGGGCTGGGGTTCCAGTGCACTGAGCACCCCACCCTGGGGACGCCCCGCCTATGGAGGCCTCTCTGACTGGGACCCCAAGAAAGGAGGTCCCCACTGCCCCGGACCCCATGCCAGCCCACCTCGCTGCCTCTGGATCAGAAAGCCAGAGCCCAGAGGTTTGTGGCTGGCTCAAGGTCACAGAGCTGGAGACTGGGGACCCCCGAGCCCCGCCTCCCGCCCCTCCCCGCGCCCCCAGGCAAGTCAAATGCCGTTTGATTCCGCCCCAGGGCCCCTAATTGCTATTCCTGACACCGAGCGTGATTAGAAGGCCCCTTTCAAATATTTATGCCTCAGACGGCGTCTTTATCCGACGGGAGAGGACTCGCGTTTGATGAGATCTGTCAACAGCGCTCCCCGAGCCGGGAATTGCCTCGCGGCTGACAGAAAACAGGACAATTACCCGATGTGCTCCCCTGGCCCCTGGGGAACTCTGCCTTGTCACCGCCGAGTGGAGAGGGTGGGGTGGCCAGGAGGGGGACGGGGCGTGCGAACGTGCTTCAGGGGGAGGACGGAGCAACAGGTCCTGGGGGGTGACGGTGCGCAGGAGGGGTGGACGGTGCAGGTGCAGCCCCCCAGCCACAGCCACGGGGCCGGGCCCTGCGGCCCCCAGTCTCAGTTTCCGCATCTGCACAATGGAGCTCAGTGCGGAGGGGGGACCCACTGCAGGAAGAGCCCCTCGGTCCCCACCTCTGCGCATGCAGGCCAGGCCCTCGGGAGCTGCCGAGGCTCAGGGCCAGGCCCTCTGCAGCCCGTGCCTGGGTTTCCCGTCCCGGCAGAGAAGGCGGGGCGGCCCCAGCTCTCGATTTCCAGCGGACCCTCTCCCCGCCAGGCTCCTGGGCAGTGCCTGCTCCCCTGACCTTGGGAGCCAGGTGCCGGGCGGGGAGCCCAGCCCCCTCATGGGCACAGAGCAGTGTCTGGGCTCCTCCTGCCGCTCCGCCCCCAGACTAGGGCCCCACCCCCGGACAGTGGCAGGGGCCGGACGCGCG